GAACCGTTATAAAAGTTTTAACTAATGAAATCGGTTCGGTTCCTATATAAAAAATCAAGAACCGTTATGGAACCGAACCGGTAGTAAACGGTTCGGTTCTTCCTTTTACCGGTTCCTAGAATAATTTTTTCTCGTCTAAGAATTAACACATAATTTTAAACACGTTGAAAATTCAAAACACGAGTATTAAAATTTTATTTGAAGCTCTAATCACTTCAAACATCAAAGTTCAAACTTAACTAATGAACTTTGAACCCTTAATAGAACAAAAGTGTTTTAAATTTTCATGTAATAAATGAAACATTAAAAATCGTTGTAGTGTCGGAGCGATGAAGGTTACTCGTCATCATAGTAGCAAGAATAGGACGCCTACTTCATGTCGTTCAAAACATATAAAAAAAAGACATTGAGTTTGCATGTATAGATATAAAAAAACATTATTACATTCTATTGATTTATAATAAATCTAATAATTAGAAGTATCATGAAAATAGTAAAGTAAAATATGTGCAATCAACTACAAGTTATTTGGGTTATTTATATTTATAAAATTTATGTGATGGAACAAAACTTGATTTGTAGAAAGGAGTTTAATGTATTATATCAACCTCATGTACAATATTTATTACTTCTTTTCCGTTGATTAAATTAGAATTGTTAGTTAAATATCTTATATTGTTTTATTATTGTTGTTGTGGTGGTGGTTATTATTGCTATTATATTATTATTATTATTGTTACTACTACTACTAATATTATTTTATTTTTTTTATTTTTTTAATAACGGTTCCTTAACGGTTCCATGCACATATTTTTTATAGGAACCGGGAACCGAACCGTTATAACCCGCTTCGGTTCGGTTCCTACAAATGAGGCATTAATTGTTAATGGTTCGGTTCCTAGATATTGTTAACGGTTCGGTTCCAATCGGTTCTACGGTTCCCGGTTCGAAAATCCCACCCCTAATGTATATATCAGGAATTTGTATTTATGTAAGCAATTTCAATCACAACAAAAAACAACAGATCGCGGTGTATTTAGGGCACAACTGCACACGAATACTGATTGGGAAAGGGTGAGAAGCAAAATACCTGTAAATTAGAGATGATGCACCGGGAAGAAGAGGATGACGGTCGACTGAAGTGTAGTCCTTGGGAAGAACGACGAAAACCCCCAATTGATGAAGTCTGGAAAGAACAACGAAGAAACCTTGGAAAAGATGGGTTGTCGTTCGTCCTTCTTGTTGCAATAAGAACGATGATGAAGATGTTATTTACCTACAGAGAGCTATCCGATTTTTGTGGGAGGACATTGCAACTGAGGTAGCGGAGGTAGATGGAACAGACGGGAGTCTGAGACGGAAGTAAAACCGAAAAATAAAAAACCTTTAAAAGAGTGCAAATGATATAACAAAGTGTACCACCTCATGAAGCTATACCATCACACCAACATTTTTTCTTTCCCAAAAATATCCTAACCATCATTGGCCCTTATAAGTTTTTAGATTTAAGACAATGCATAATGTTTAGTAGTTACAAACTATTATTATTGTTGTCAAGAAATAAATATTTTCCTTTATTAACTCTGTTTTAGAGTTTAATGCTTTTCCGTGACTAAATTTTTTATATATGCAGGAGCAGCTCATTCAACAGAACCACACCAATTCATTCCCAGTATATATACAGTATCTGTTTGAAAGATCGAAGGATGTAGTCTATCTTCTATCATTTTCCCTGTTTATGCAGATAAGGTATGTTATTTGAATTATAATTTTTATTTAGAATTAGTTGGTTCAATTTAAATTATTAAAACTATTAAATTAGTGAGGTTGTTAATTAATTAACAACATGTTTTAACTATAAGCGTAGTAATGTCATAAATTAGAATTAGTTAAACTTTTAGGTTTATAAAATAATTTAATTAAAATTAGTTAGCTAAATGTAGTTTAAAACGTAATGATGTTTATGTTAAGTGAAATTAGTTCAAATAACGTACGTTAGTAATGTGTTAATTAAGTGAATTGTGAATTGTGTATTGCTTATTAATTCAAATGACTTTATATACATGTTCAAATTATTGGGTTGAATTTGGTCATATTATTTAATTTAGTGAATTGTTAATTGTGTATTACTAATAAGATTAAATGTGATTAACGTAATAATTTAGTGTAGGTTTAAACGTAGGTTTACAAAAATAATTTAATTAAAATTCGTTAGCTAAACGTAGGTTTGAACGTAGCTATTGATGTGTTAATTAAGTTAAATTAGTTAGCTAAACGTAGGTTTAAACGTAGTGATGCATTAAAAGGGGACGGAAAGAACTAGTTAAATTTAACTAAATGAATTAGTTAAATTTAGTTAAACGTATGTTTAATTTAAATGTAGTGTTAATAAATTACTTAAACTTTTTATAATATTAGTTAAATTTAAGTATTAGGTAATTACTTATATTTTGTGCATTTCATTTAATTTAGTGAAAATTAGTTGATTATTTAGTGAAATAAATTACTTAAAATTGTGTGCATTGCATTTCATATAATTTTTTATTATAATATTCAGGCATAATGTATAAACAAAATAGAAGTTGGATGTATGATAAAGATGCGGTATTGTACGGAATGCAATCAAATTTTCTCGAGGGAGTCGGAGAATTTATTGAATTTGCACTTGAACATCCGGCTTATATGAGTGGTGATAAAATAAGATGTCCATGTTCAAAGTGTAAAAATCTCAAATTTAAAGACCCACACGAAGTTGGGTATGATTTGTACGCGGTCGGTTTTGTTCCCAATTATTATAATTGGATTTCTCACGGCGAACCTTTGGATCCATCTGTTATACCACAAACGGTAGGTTTGTCTCGTTACGTCCCTCCAGAGATGAGTGCGTGGGGAGACCGTGCTGAAATGAGGTGGGACCAACAAATGGTATATGACGCATACGGTGTACCGTCTCAGTTCAACCCCCCACAACCACCTAACGACCCCCCTGAAGCCTCAACCTCGTATCAACCAGATGCGGATGAAAATCCGACATTTTATCAACCTTATGTGGATGAAGGTTTGGCTGAGAGATTTCAGGATGTTCTAAAAGCTGCCGACCAACCTCTGTATGCTGATTGTGAGGGATACTCTCAGCTATCCGCTGTTACTGAGTTCATGAACATAAAAGCCGAATACAGTCTCCCTGAAACTTGCATGAATAGAGTCTTGCAGTCAGTAGGAGGGATGCTACCGCGAGATCATACCCTTCCCGATTCATATTACCACATGAAGCAGTTAATGTCTAAGTTGGGGCTACCTTGTGTTGAAATTGATGCGTGCCCGGAAGGATGTATGTTGTTCTGGAAGGAGGATGAGGCACTTGAGTTCTGCAAGTTTTGTGGTGGAGACAGATACAAACCTGTTCGTCAAGGTAAAAAGAAACCACGACATAGGTCTGCACTGTCTAAACTGTATTACCTCCTAATAGCTCCTCGACTGCAAAGGATGTACGCTTCGACTGCTACTGCGAAACACATGACATGGCATGTTGAGCATGAAACCAACGAGGGTATGATGGCTCACCCTTCGGACTGTGAAGCCTGGAGACACTTTGACCGCTGTCATCCTCAGTTTGCTATGGAGCCACGAAATGTGCGGCTGGGATTGTGCTCAGATGGATTTGCTCCTTTTGGCAGGTTTGGCAAGAACTATTCATGTTGGCCGGTCATGTTAACTCCTTACAATCTCCCTCCCGACATGTGCATGAAAAGTCATTTCATCTTTTTGTCTTTAATTTTTCCGGGTTCCAAGGATCCTGGGCGAAAGATAGACATTTATCTTCAACCCCTTATTGAGGAGATGAAAGAACTGTGGGCCGTTGGGACACCAACTTATGATGTTTCATCAGATAAAATGTTTATCATGAAAGCTGCCATCATTTGGACCATTAGCGACTTCTCTGCCTATGGCATGCTTTCGGGATGGAGCACACACGGTCTGATGGGATGTTCGATATGCATGGAGAAATCAGGTGCCAACTGGCTCAGTTACAGCAAAAAAGGAAGTTACTTTGATTGTCACCGCAAGTTTCTCCCGGAAAGGCACCGATATCGAAAGGACAAGAAGTCTTTCATTAGAGGCAGAGCGGTACGAGAGAGCCCACCCCCGAGATTGACCGGTGAAGAAATTTATAACCGGGTTCGACGTTTTCCTACGGCTATGGAAGAGCCAAACCAAGAGCCATATGGGTATTGTGATACCCATAAGTGGACAAAGAGGAGCATATTCTGGGAGTTTCCTTATTGGAAAGACCTTCTCATCCGTCACAATTTAGATGTCATGCACACTGAGAAGAACGTCTTTGACAATATATTTAACACGGTGATGGATTTGAAAGGCAAAACTAAAGACGGTCTTGCAGCTAGGAAAGATATGACTATTTGGTGTGATAGACCCGAACTTTCTGTTGATCTAGAATATGAGGGCAAGGAAGTTCCAAAAGCAGTCTACCAGGTCACAGAACCACAAAAGGCAGCAATATTACAATGGCTTGCGTCTCAGAAGTTTCCAGATGGCTACTGCTCCAACTTGTCTAGATGCGTAGACATGAACAAACTTATCACGACGGCGAGCATGAAAACTCACGATGCTCATGTAATAATGCAAAGACTTCTACCAATTGCACTAAAAGAGATGCTCCCTGAACACGTATGGTCATGCATTACTGAAATCAGTTTGTTGTTTCAATCGATATGTTCCAGCGTTTTGGATGCGGCATCCCTCCGGAGACTACAAGAGCCTGTTCCCATTCTGATGTGTAATCTGGAAAAAATAATGCCTCCATCGTTTTTCGATACAATGGAACATCTCATAATACATCTTCCGTATGAGGCTTTGACTGCTGGGCCCATCTTCTATCGGTGGATGTACAGATTTGAAAGGTTAGTCACAATTTCATTTAAAAAAAGAATATTTATTTCACAATAACTGTTAACATGTGTATTATTGCATTATTGCAGATTTCTAGGAGAGCTGAAAAAGAAAGTGACCAACAAGGCACACGTTGAGGCTTCAATTTGTCAAGCGTATCTTCAACAAGAAATCTCAACGTTCTCGTCTTTTTACTTCGAGCGTGACGTCATCACCAGAAGGAAGAGACCTGCCCGGAACGATGACATTGGCGAGGATTTATATGAAAATGTAGTTTCCATCTTCAATTACCCAGGCAGAGGTAAAGGTGCTGCGACACAACGATACATCCTGGGTGGGGAATTGCAAATTGCGCATACTTATATCCTCATGAATTGTCCAGAAATCTCACCATTTTATCAGTAAGTTAAATTTGTAGTTATAATTGTAATACTTATAAATTAAATTTGTAGTTAATTTATAGTTTTTTTTTATTTTTGACTTCACAGTGAATTCCGAGCTTCTATATCAGCCTTTCTTGAGAATGAAATTGATGCGTTGGTGGACTCTGATTTTGTAAATTGGTACAAGTATCAGATATATATACACACATTAATTATATATATTATTAAGTAAGATTTTTCAATATTTACCTAATGTTATTATTATGTTTATATTTACAGATCAATAGTCGTGGGATTGTCGACCCTTAGTTAGTATCATTAGCGTGGGGCCCAAGTGCCAGTGCCAAAGTGTGGCTGTGTGATATGTGATAAACGGTTACACATATCACACAGCCGATTACGGACAGGGCCGACCAACAACGAACAACGGGTTATGTGTCCCGACCATCGGTTATGATATCTTGGAAACCAATTTTTTTGGTGTCCTGCAGGAGATTCTGGAACTTGAGATGCCTTCTGGTGCGCAAAAAATGACATGCGTTCTGTTCCGCTGCACATGGGTCGATCCCACACGTGGCGTGCGCAAAAATCCGAAGTATAATATGATTGACGTCAACCACTCTCGTGTGTACCCGAAAAATGAGCCTTTCATACTCGCCCAACAAGCAGCGCAGATTTATTATGCAGAATATCCTTCAACAAGGCGGACCCAGAATCCTTGGGTGTGTGCATGTCATGTCCGTCCGAACAAAATTAAATCACAAACTCAACACAAGGACGTTGATCTAGATGCTTTTCAGCAACAATTTTTCCAACCTCCGCCTATTGTTGAGACGGTCAACTATAACGTCCAATTAAGTGATCCAAATGGCGGACGTGTTGAAGTCATGCCAGAAACGCACCTTCCGGACCTAACCATTCCATCTGAGCGCGAAATTGAGGAAATGTATGTAGCACAACAAAATGCTCAATATCAGGAAGAAGGTGAATGGATAGACGGTTCAGATACAGAAGAAGACATTATATATGTAGAAAATAACGATTCTGACAGCGAGTAATTGTGCTGTTGTAATTTCAATTTTGTGATATAATTTCTCCAAGCATATTTGATAATTTCCTTCATCATTATTGTTTGTAAAATAATTACTCCTTAATCTGTTCTATACCACATAAATTCAAAGCAGTTTATTTAATGCTCCACAGTCCACACTACAATTACCATGATATTAATAGCTATTCATATAATTACAATAGTAATAATAATAATAATAATAATAATAATAATAATAATGTTAATAATTATATTAACATTATTTATAATATTATAATAGTAATATAAACACAATTAATATTATTATAACGATATAATAATAATAATAAGAATAAGAATAATAATAATAATTATTATTATTAATAATAAATCATGTCTGAATTTTTCTGATCTGATCTGATTTGAACAAAATAAGAATAAACAATAAGTAATAACTAACACAAAGATGAACAGAACAGCACCTTATTCATTTTTCGGTTCAATAAGCTGTGTACATAGTTTCAGATGACACATTATTGTACGCATCATATCTCAGTCAATTGGTTCTTTATTAGTCATTTTTTTAGCATAAAATGCTTGGGTCGCAGGAAAATGAACTTATAAATTTAATAGTCACAGTTGTAGTCACGGTCAGGACCGTGACTACACCCTTCGTAAATGCCGAAGTCAGGGCCGACGGTCAGAGCGGCGCTGACCACAATAGTCACGGTCATTGCCGTGATTATGACCGTGACTACTTTCAAATTTTTTAAAAACAGTCACGGTTATAGTCACGGCTTTGACCGTGACTATTCCGGTCAAAGGCGGCTCTGACCGCCTCGCTGACATCGTCAATTACGAAGGGTTTAGTCACGGTCAGGACCGTGACTATGACCGTGACTAAACAATTATATAAAACAAACACTTTGCGTTTTTTATCATCCCTACGCACCCAAACTCCCAAACCCTAAACTACCTCTCCCTTCTCTCTTCCCTCTCTTCCAGTTCGATAGTGCCACCTAGCCGTCCGCCGTCGCCGCCTAGCTGCCGCCGTCGCCGCCTAGCCGTCCGCTGTCGTCCTCCGGCCGCCTTCGTCCGCCTGCTTCCGTCGGCCCTTCTTATCTTAGTCAAGGTTATGTGTTCTGTTCATCTTATTTTGTAATATTTGATTAAAATTCCAAAAATGCATGATTGTATACTCAAATGCATGATAAGATGCATGATTTTTAGTTTCATATCATTTTGTAATGTTCAAAAGTTGTATGTATGATTTATTATATGCATGATTTGTAGTTTTGCATGATAATTTCGTTTTATATGTTTGGTATGCATGATAATTATGTTTAAATGATTTAGATTATTTTATGTTTAATATATGTTCATATGCATGATTAAAGTACTTAATAAACTGTTTTTCAAAATGGTAAATTTAAAAATTTAATTTCTGAATGTAATTTATGAAAATATTTAAACAAACTTATTAAATAAACTGTCTTTATTTTCTTGTTCATATATATTATATTCTTTTTTTATTTAAACCTTGCTCAATATATTTTCGAACTAATGCATGCTTATACAATTAGTATGATGTTTAATATATATGTTTAGTGTTTGATTTGCATGCCTCTCTATACATATGCATTACTTTAAATTTAATTTCCGAAAATATTTAATTTAGGTTAATATTTAAAAAAAAAACTGTTTAAATAAATAGCCCCTCGTGTTAAACTTCCAAAAATAGTTTAACACGTTTAATTATAATTTCCGTAATATCCATTAACAAAATATTAAACATTTAAATTTAATCCCGAAAACAATATATGTAAACTGTTTGAAAAACTGTTGTAATGATTTATATAAACTGTTTTAATGATTTATTTAAAAAAACTGTTTTATAAAAATTGGATGAAACACTGTTTTTTATAATAGTTTAAGCATAAAAATTGTTTTTATTTTTTATATTATAAACTGTTATATTATAAACTGTTTTTAGATAAACTGTTTTTCCAAAAACTGTTTTTACACTAACTGTTTTTATATAAACTGTTTTTATAATTTATCTAAAAAAAACTGTTTTTATAAAAACTGTTAATTAAAAACTGTTTTATTAAACAGATTTTTGTAAAAAATAGTTTTTATAAAAACTGTTTTAATAAAAACTGTTTTTATATAAACTGTTTTTATATTTTATCTAAAAAAACTGTTTTTATAAAAATTGATATATATAAACTGTTTTATTAAACAGATTTTTGTAAAAAACAGTTTTTATAAAAACTGTTTTAATAAAAAGTGTTTTTATAAAAACTGTTTTTATAAAAACTATTTTTATAAAAACTGTTTTAATAAAAACTGTTTTAAAAAATCTTTTATTAAACAGATTATTGTAAAAAATAGTTTTTTGTAAAAACTGATTTAACAAACTGTTTTAAATTTATTTTAAACTGATATATCTAAAACATAAAAAAATGATCTCCTCTCATGTAAACTTTGCAAAAAGTTTAACATGTTACCTCCAATGGCAATTTATTACCAAATTATAGAAGAACTTATTATGAAAAAATATGGACCCCTCATATTAAACTAATAGATAGTTTAATATGCTATACACATTTTCAATTGATAATACTTGTATAAATTTTTATAGTGAAAAATAATAAAAATACCCCAAACTTTGAAAGGGTGTGAGGTAAGCACCCCAAACTTGCATAAGTAATTTAAACACCACAAACTTTATATAAAGTTTGGGATATTTAAATTACATATGCAAGTTTGTGGTGCTCTTGTCACACCCTTCAAAGTTTGGGGTATTTTTATTATTTTTCCCTATAAAAATTTAATAAACTGTGTATAAGTTTAATATGAGTGGTTCAATAATTTCTAATAAACTCATCCTATAATTTATCAATGAGTTGACCCAGCCGATCGAAGAATCGATCAGTTGGAGCTTGTCAATGAGTTGACCTAGTCAATTCTTAGAAAAGCTCCAATCTGTCGATTCTTCTGGCTACGGCTTGAGTCATCGATGGACTCTCCCAAGCGCATGTACTGACATTATGTCGCTACATGTGATGTAGCTCATCCATGGTTCAAGGCGTAGCCCGAAGAATCGTCAGGATGGAGTTTATCAATGAATCGACTCGGTCAACTCATTGATAAGCTCCAACCGGTTGATTTTTCGGTCGACTGTGTCAACTCCTTGATAATTATAGTATTTGTTTATTAGCAATTATTGGACCCTGATATTAAGGATGTACCCAGTTTAATATGTTATATACATTGACAATTGATAATACTTACATAAAAATTTGATCTTCTATTATAAGCCTTCTAACAAAAAACAAAATAAATTAATATATTTTAGATGAGCAACGAACAATCGACCTCGGCTCCCCGCCCTAACTATGCGCCCATGTCCGAAGCGGAGCACAACAACGAAGGAGCTGTTTGGGTGACCCCTGCAGAAGTTGCTTTGTAAGTAGTTATGAAGAAACCTTATTTTCAATAATTTTATATAATGTTAAATAATCTAACCAAATCTTATATAAATAAATAATATTAATTTTTTAAGTGACGATGAAGTGTTCAAAGGCATCAAAAACATAATCGGAGGACACTTTCTTGGCACTTGGGCCACGTACTCGGATGTTGACCCCAAGGTCCGCGAACTATGGTGGAACCCGTTCAAGGTAAAAATAAATGAATGTTCCCTCCCTAATTGTATTGGCCTAATATATACCTAGTGATTAATTAATCCAATTTGTTTTAATAAAGGGTCGCTGTCGTTGGACTCACGCAAACGGTGCCGATATTCTTAGAGCCTACAATGCTAGGATTTCGACCTGGTTTCGCGCCACTTTTAAGCGTGCCCGAAAAAGTGCGAAAAAGCCTAAATGGGTTTCGGATGAAGTGTGGTCCAACCTTTGTCTCCACTGGTCTTCTGATCCAAAATTCTTGGCCAGAACTGAATCCGGTAAGAAAAACCGGATGTCCGAGAAGGCCTTGGAGATGCAGTGGCACGGGGGTCGCAAATCTCAGAATGCCCATAAAGAAACTCTTGTAAGTGCTATTCAAAAAACCTTACACCATCACAATCCTTCATTATAAAAAATTTACTTAAGTCTTTTTCACACCATTTAGGCTGGTCCTGAGAAGAAGAGGGTTGGTGTTCTCCGGCTCGTCAAGCATTGCTGGACGAAGCACGGCGAGGAATCTGAAGCCGATCTGCCACCCCCGCCTCACTGACTTCGAAGTATGTAACATCATATTTTGTTATTTAGTAACATTTCAAATCTAAGTATGTAGCATTTAAAAAATATTTTTTGAAAATGCAGACGAAGTACAACGAATCCGTTGACAGGCAGCGTGCGGCACGAGGCTTGACCAAGGAGGACGACCTCGATT